AAGTCATTTCCCACGCTGCTCCCAGAATATCACTCATTCTAGCCGCCCTTCTTTTGGATCCCTCGCAGATCTCTGAATAATGGTTTAAATCGGCTACTGGTATTTTCATGTGTAAACAAAAGTTTTACCTAAGCCTCTTCGCCCCTGAAGTTTTGGGGGGAGACGGAAAATACAAATCATCTTGGTCAGGCCTCTAGGGCTAACCAAATGAGCTGTGGTTGCCGCATTGTATTGTACTCGGCCCTCTGACTGAATCTCGGCTTCTGTTTCTGCCACCGATTCTGCTGTTTCATCGTAATTATCAACTTGAAAAAGCGCTCATTACTTCTCAGAGGAAGAAACTGAAAAGAGAAGGTTGCCAACCAATCATTGTTAGAAAGTGAAGCTACCTGTTGTTTTTTTTAACTCCTCTCTATAAACAAGTTACACGAGTCCGAGTCCCCAAGAAACCAAAAAAAGTGAGTAGACCTGATTGAAGACTTCTTGTTGTCTCATCAATGTGTGGTTTTCATTTTCAGCTAAAAACTTTGACTGTGGTCAGGGTGCGACAAAACATACGAGTACCTCTTGGAATAATATTTGAACTAAACACAGCGAACCCTTATAATCCCTGCCACCCTCAGTTCTCACAGTTGCAACCCTTCTCAGGAACTCATAAATTTCAACAAGATCAGTTGGGCACTTGTCTCGCATAAATCAGAACCAATTTAATGGGCGAGTACATTAACCCTAAGCTCAAATAAGCAATTTAATTTGGCAAGCCCCTAACCACCACCCTAAACCACGAAAAGAAAATAGATCATACTTTGATAATCTGCCTTTTCTCTTTAAAAAATTCACTTGAAGCCCGCAGAGCTATAAATCAATAGAGTTTAAAGCGAGGAAAATTGATTTTGAAGTCAGAGTGGCTCCCACGCTCTTTCTTTTTTGATATTTTAATTATCAAGGCTGGCTAACGGTCGTTCGGGGAACAATCTCCTGGGACAGGAAGTGTTTGGTCAACTAAAAAAACACCCAAGTAGAATGACAAGCGGACGGGAAAGGATACAGATGTGGGTAGTTGTACGTCACGTGCGCCTTTAATTGATTTTTGGCCAGGCGATTTGCATGGGAACCATTTGATTCCGTTTCCCAGAAAGGCCTCGCCCGCTAATTAACCAGGGAGCGACAACAAATATTGTGTTAATAGCCATAAATTGAGGCCCGAGCGAGCCTTAACCCCTTCGTAGACATTCGATTTGCATAGCTCTGCGAACTGAAAACCTAAAAACCGCCCCATTGTCTCCCGATCTTGCGACATTCCCGTTGAGCAGCGGAGCGGAACCCAGAGTACACCTCAATGTAAATACGAAATTTATTTATTTTCATTTAGTTGCACGCGTTAATTTATGCCAGTCAGAACGGTCTTCGTCTTCTTTTTCACTCTGCGCCAACCACATCCGAAAATTATACAATAAAATGTAAAATAAACTCGGAGTTCTTATTGGCGATGGATATTTATACGAGCAGCTGGACTGCCATCGAAAAACCACAAGAAAGTGCAGATACCCCCTCTCCCCACTCCCCGCTGACCCACTGGGCACGTAAAGTCCCCATCGAACCTTGTCAATCTGCCAGGGAGTACCACACATCCACAAAGGCACATATCCAAGGAGTGACTGACAGACTGACTGACAGACAGACACTCCAGTCCAAAACGGAAGCAGTTAGGCTTTGAATAATTTATGAAAAATCACCGACGAGACCCGTGAGGTGCAAAAGTGGCATGTCAATTTGGCGGGAGAGACTTACATATCCATTCTTACTCATACGCTTTTTGATCAGGACCAGTTAAGTAAAATATACAAATTAAGGAAGAGCTTCTACAAATGATAGAACAATAAAATATATATATTACATAGAACCAAATAATAATATTTATACACTTTTTGATTAAGAATAATACAAGACAATCACGGGATTGTCAGACATAAATATGATTATATATTTGATATTCATAAATATGAAGTTCATATAAATTTCAAAGTACCTATCTTATGTCTCTAGAACTGAGCCTAAAGCTGAAGTCATGGTTTCCAAGCAAAACTCACCCAAGAAGCCACCAAATCAATGACTTTTATCACAATTAATATGCCAATGACAGTGGGCCCCCGAATATGGAGTTGGGGTTTGCGGGTTGGCCACTTCCTAATTTGGTTCCGCTATTTGTTGTCGCATACTCTTTTTTCCCCTCGTAAATTTATTATTTAATTTGCCTTGGCCGTTTGGTGTGGAATGCCAAGTGCCGAGTGCAGCGGTCAATGTTTTGAATGCCAAATGCAAATCAAAATGGGGAAAATGGAAGGGGAGATGGAGTCCCAGGCCAAGTGGCATTTAAGAATTAAAAACAGTAAAAGTAAATTAAATTGAGCCATAACGGATGTTGGATCTACGCTGTCCGCTTTTGGAGGCGTTGAAAAGTTTGGAGCCACTTCCTTTTGGAAATGCGGTGTGACCGCGAGTTGACCTTCAAGCCAAAATATTTTGATTGTCCCGCTCGCCTGGCTTTCTATTTCTAAGCTCATCTGCATAAGTCTGCGCAATTAACAAGCCGAACAGGAACAGCGCACAGTTTATGTCGAGCTAAGCACTAAATTAGCTCGCTTAGCCTGGGAATATCGCTGGAGGAAAGATGCCGGAGCAGAAGAATGCTCGCATACCAGAGCCTCGACTTCCGCCTGTCTTTTGGAGATGGGAAAGAATGCGACCGGCGTGGAATTCAGATTTACCCAGCCAGGTGAATAGGTGGGAATGGGATGCCGGAGCCGCCAGCGAACTGGGTTACATGTTCCACCACTGTGGGTGATGTCGATTGGCCATGATAAATCCGGTGGATCTCGAGGAATGCCTAGCGAAAACATGGCAATTTATGGTTTGACCCTGCAAGATGTCACATACTTAGTTGGTCTATATTATAATTATTTCCGGGCATCAGTTTCCACAGAAGAAAAATAATAAATACAAGAAAGAACTTCGTAAAACACTTGAGTTTTTATGATTTTTTTAAAGAAAAATCACATTTTTTACAGGGTTTTTTGTTGTAACTAGTCCAAAATTAGACACACAGCTAAAAAACTGACTGTTTTGTGCAGCTGACAATCTCTAATATCAATCCCCACCACTTTTTGGGAAAAATTTTTTTTTGGAAAAATTTTCATTTTTTATAAGGGGTAACATCGTACTTTTTGTTGAAAATGTAAAAAAAAATTTTTTTATCTGTAAATGCAAATTGATTGGAAATTTTATGACGAATTCAAAGAGGTATGACATTCCAAATTGTGGGCATTTTTCGCTGGGTTTTGATTTAAAAACTGCTAGAATAGTCGATTTTAAGAGTTATTTTGTTGTAACTTGACCAAATCAAGACGCCTAGAAATAATTTTTATTAAAAACATTTTTATTTTAAATAAATTTAAAAACTAATTGGTATAAAATAAAGTAGAAGAACATTTGCTTTACTCTCATGGTGCCTGGCCTATCACAAATATGGCTTAACTCACAAATGCATTTTGTTTACCTATACAGGCAATGAACTCTGTGGCGCTTCAAACAAAAGACTTAGGCAACGAACTTGCCCGGGGGAGTGGAGGTGGAGTGGAATGGCAAAACAGGTTTGGCCAAACGATAAACGCAATTCCATAGAGTCGAGCCAGTGCTGTGGATTTGAAGGCTTCTAGGCAGTGAAGGCCCCCTCCCCCTCCCTTTCTGCACCCACCATCACCAAAGATCGCGGACCGCGGCAGGTTCCCAATGTTCGATATTGCTCCTTTTTTCCCAGGCCTTGACAGGCGCAAACGTGTTCGCACAGACTCGGGTGAGTCATCCAATCATGTTGGTGGTGCCTGGCACCGAGATTTTCATGCAGAACAGGTAGGAGAATTTCACAAGATTCTGCATGTCTTGGCTCAGACGTTCTTAGGCCTCAATTCGATTTGGCGGATTTAATTTGGGTCTGCCTTTGGTCTCCTTTCGCTTCCCTATAGTCACATGAATGTCTTTAGGAGATTCATTAGATTGTCTGGCTGTTTTTAGATTAGGATTTTAGATGGGCATTAGGATTTTAATGGGCAATCACTGGACATATTTTAAAACTCCCTTTACAGAAATTTAATTACTTGCAGCAGATATATCAAAGACCATTTAATTTTAATTTTCGCCTTTAATGTCTTACTTAGACCGACTTCCTATTTCATGCTTTTTATTTACGCCTCCCTGAGGTTAGTTAGATTGTTTTTTTTTCAAGATTAACACGACCTTCTGCTGCCAAACCCCTTGGCTTGTCAAAAATCCCACATACTCCGCGACTAAAATATTTCACAACATTGTTCAAGTGCCAGATTCTTAGCCTCTTTTGTCGCAATGTAAATTAAGAACACAGCCACGGACCATTTATGGTCCGGCCTGGCCCCAACTCAAAGCCCATGCCATGCCCGTAAAGTGCCAGCACAAACAGGTTTGCAATTAAACAACTAAAAAATTATTAAGCAAAATGAGTCTGAAATTAATTATTTATGCGCTCAAGATAATACAGCGAAGCCCCCAGTGGAGATCCAAGCAAAGTGGGCGTCTCTGCTCCCTAAGCGCACTTCCAAGAACCAAGAACCAAGAACCCAGAACCAAGCACCATAACTTGGGCTGCTGAAAAACGACGTAGTTCGCGGTTCAGTGATCACTCCCCCCGGAAGGCAACGCGTGCCAACTGGGCAGCTGCAGGCGCTGTACCACTCGGAGGCCCTCGAAAAAGACAGACACCCCGATGATATCGTCATACACGAGTTCACAGCTCCACCAGCCCGCATAAATTATAGCCGCGATCAGGAGCAATATAGGAGGTACAAACGTATAGCGACCCTGAACAAGTCTTCTGCACTTTTTTTGACTTATTACCGCCCGCTGTCGACCATGACATTTGTTGAAAATTGCCCAAAATGCCTGTAAACTACCCGATCAGCAAAGTCCAGTCTTGCTTGAAATGAGCTTTACTCGCAGCCAAAGAGCACATCAAATTTCCAATAACCATCGAACATAAACAGAATTAAGCAATTGTTATGTCGTCCGTGTAGTAGAGCCAAATGGAAGGCGGCGGCAGTTCCACGGTGCTGTCCTCATCATCCGTAAGTCCATTTTCATCCAGGGTGCCATTCGGGTCCAGCACACTGCAGGACTTGCCCTGGTTGAGATTATTTTAATAAATATTTTATGGCTCCAGAATTAGCTGAGTGTATTTTAATATTTAATTTAAAGGAAAGGTTGCGAAAGGTCATCCAACAAAATGGAAAATATATAATTGATTAAAATTCATTCTAAAACTCAAAAAAATGTTTTTACTTTTTTTGAAAAAATCACCGGTTTTTTTGTCGGTCAACCCAATATATTTTAGGAGTCATAACTTAATAAGTCATAACTTCTAAAGTTTCTAAAATTTAGCAAATTTTGTATAATAATAATATAATTAAAGCTCAAATGTTGAATAGCTTTTTTAAGGTAAGGAATATATGTAATGTAATGTATGATTCTATTGGTAGGTATTTTCTATTGTAATACCATTTATCTTTAAAATATAGTTTCGCTAAAAAAGTTTTTTGGGTTAAGTAAGTTAAAAACTGTTTAGTACAAGGACATACACTAAAATTGTGAAGAAAACTTGGACTTTAACAAATTATAAGGGATACGGAATAAGTCCCCTATAACTTAATCCCCCTTCTAAGTTTATGGGTTTCTATTGAAGATATCAACTTAATCTCACCCCATTCGAGAACTTCCGCCACTCGTAGCTGCCGGCGTGGTGATTGTATCGCTGTTTGTACTTCTGCTGGATGTCGAAGATGCTGTCCTCGTTGCAAACAGTCATGAATTGCGTCTGGGCAGTCAGTGTGTTGATAATGCGAATAACCCGTGCTCGCTTGGTGACCCTGCCGATGTGGTAGAAGGGATCCTGGCTCCACATGGCTCCTGGCGTCTTAGAGAACTCCGAGATGGCCACCTCCAAAATGGGAGGAAACAGGACACGTGGTCGTCCAGTGCTGGGTGAGATCTCTGTGCGGGGCTCTCCATTCTCATGGAAGAAATGGGTGAGGTCCTTGCCAGCATGGGCTATCAGATAGTCCAGGGTCTGAAAGAGGTTCTTACTCGTAAGGTTCTATAAGTGAATGGCCTTTCCACCTACGCGATTCCAGTGATCCAGGCGATCTCTTAGCATGGGCGTCAGATCGAAGACATTCGTGTGTATGATCACCCAGCAGTCGTCCTTCTTGTTGTGCGACACCACCTCATCCTTCAGATAGTACCGCATCTTGCTAATCGGCAGCTCCATTTCACAAAATTAACGCAGGGAAACGAATTCGAATAAAGTGTAATTTGATTTTCTCGACAAAACTGTCGCCTCTTGACTCGACCCATTAATTCTGACTTTTCCAGCGGTGCCGACTGCTCATCATCATCGTTTTCAGAGGTCTTATCGCCAGACTTGAATCTCTGGGCCTCCGGTTGGCAGGCCAATTAATTCCGGCTGCCAGAGAGGCCCAAGTTCCCATTCCTGGTCGGCTTTTCGGGATTCCATTGCATAATTAGCCGCCAATTGTCAAGTCGTCGGCGACTCGAGTCTTGGCCCATCAATCGTTTGCCATAAATAGAAAAAATTAGATTAATGACTGATGGCATTTTTGGTCTAACCACCGAGGTTACACACACTCGAAAGGCATTCCAATTGATGGGAACATTGTCAGCGGCGTTCAGAGAGCACTGCACTTTGAAATATTTGCCTCCAGTTATTCCGAGATCATTCAGCTTTTTCAAATGAATGGGGAGCATTCTATTTCACTTGATAGGTTGATTAATTTGGTAAGATATTTTTAGGTGCTTAACTTTTAAATCATTTGGGAGTTGTTACACCACCAACTTCTAAATTGACAATTTAGAATTATAAATTCTGGAACATTTCTCCCATCTTAACAATATACATGTACAATAAACTTGCTTATTATCTTCTATGTACATCAATTTTATGATTATGTTTGTATGTATTTATTTAATTTCATGAGGCATTTCTTATGCCAAATGTATACAATGATTTTATAGCATAAAGACTTAAGTATCTTTCAGCAGATGTTTGAAAAGGGTATGGTAGTCTAAATTAAAAACTATATCGATAAAACCCTTTTCATTCCCTTTAATGGTTTCAGTTTCCTTTCTGCGGGATGCTGAACTTTGAACCCAGCGGTCGGACTTTAGGTTACCGAAAGGTAACTAATGGACACACGTGATAAAATCAACTTCCGCAGGATTACAAAGTCGGCGACCTGGGGGTCATTCATTCAACTCCATGCTGCACCACTCACAGCTGCCACTTTCGGTCGCACATGCGCAGACACAGAATTCGAGGGATTTGCCATGGCAACTCCCAGTCTAACCAAACATATAAAATAGGGGCTAGAAAAGGATATTGTGGTCTCGAGTGGCATCTCATATTGCAATTATAGGGCATAGTGCTAAAAGGATTTACCGATACATCGTGTTTACTTTAATTGCTCGCCACGCGTCGCCCTAAGTGGTTTTTAATATTTGCTTTCTTCGGTTGCAAGTCGGCAGACTGCGTGATTGCAGCAGCTGTTGGTGGATAGCCGCAGACACCATCCGTCGGTAATTATCTGGGATTGGCCTTGTCCCGAGAAAGCTGCATCCTTTTTGCCAATGCCAACCAGACAAATGGCAACAGCAGGACTCAAAATAATAGCCACCAACATTGCCATTAATCACGCAAACCAACAACATTGTGTGATATAAGGGAAGGTAGTCAAGAAATCGACTTCATTGGTACCTTGTCAATACTGTTTATTAAAAAGTGTACAGATATATTTTTAGTCTTGTAGAAAATACCAGTATGCTGCTTAAGTATAGACAATCGATCAGGTTTTTCCTTTTTTAAGGTTAAATAAGTATGTTTACCACTATACTAAGTTCAGAAACAACAACTGTTTATATTACCTTATATAAAAGATATTTAAATTCCAATTTACATAACTTCCTTTTACATTTTACACACCAAAACCAGTTGTAGCACTCCCCACTAAAAGTACAAAACCGAAATACAAATTGTTGATAATGTAGCCCACAAAAAGGGATAAAAAACTAAAAATAGGCAGGTCCTGAAAAGCAGCTGCCATTTCGGTGGTGACCCATAGGAAAATGGGTTTGGTAGTGGGTTGAATTGTGATCAACAGCCACTCAGCTCATTTGCATGGGTGGAAATGGGAAGTTGAGGGTGCGAGTCCTGCTAATTGCCTCCAAGTCAACTGTGAAGCTGCACATATGTCGTCCGAAGGACAATGGCTCTGGGATCAGGTTCTCAATTTCAATTGTTTGTCCGCCGACTCGCTTTGATTTGGTGGGATGGTAACAGCTGGTTGGCCATTTGACACGCCACCGCTGGCAGCCTTGATCTTTTGGCCAAGGAGTTGCTGCTGGTGCTGGTGCAGCTGCAACTGGCTTTGTGTCTTGGTTTTCGGGTCAAGAATGCGTGTGGCAGGCACAAGCGAGGGGCACAATGCAGGCGAGGCAAACAAGCCATCGAAACTGGAAATACTGCGGGCTAAAAACAACCCCATCCGAGGTCCCAACCCCTACGCACCACCGAACCCCGATGAACCACGTGCGTCACGCGCAGTCGCAACCGCTGACACAGCACAAAAAAATTAGTAATCAAAGAAATGAATTTGATTAAAATCATAAAAATTTATTACTTAATCCCTATTCAAAGAAAGGGTTTGTTTTGGAATGAAAAGCGTACACCTTTAACCTTTTTTCTACTTTCTTAACGTTTTGTATATGTATTTATCCCGTCACCAATTTTACATTTTTTAAAGTAAACAAGAGAGAACGCTATAGTCGGGTGCCCCGACTATCAGATACCCGTTACACAGGTAAAGGGAGTGCGAGGGAGATGGAGATAGAAACTTTGATCACGCATAACTTTTTAACGAATGGTCCGATTTGAAAAATTTCTTCTACATTTCGATAGGTATCGATAAACACAATAAAACTGCATTTTTACTTTTCCGAAATATTAAAATTTTTAAAATCGTATATAAGCGATTGTGGGCGTTAAAGGGGGCGTGGCACCTTTTTGAAACAAACTTGCGCTGCGTAGGAACTCCTAGAATCTGCATGCAAAATGCCAATCTTCTAGCTTTTATAGTTTCCGAGATCTCAGCGTTCATACGGACAGACAGACAGACGGACAGACAGACGGACAGACGGACAGACGGACAGACGGACATGGCTATATCGACTCAGCTAGTGACCCTGATCAAGAATATATATACTTTATAGGGTCGGAAACGCTTCCTTCTAGCTGTTACATACTTTTGCACGAATACAATATACCCTTTTACTCTACGAGTAACGGGTATAAAAATAAATTCAGTATTGGTAATATTTATTTTATAATTAACATTTATTCTGTACTGAATATAAACCAAGTGTTATATTTCCTGTTCACTTTTTATTTTATGCAAAATAATTCTTACATAATAAACCATAAAAGTTTTGTAACTTTTAACACACTTTTAGTATGATGATTTTTATATCAAAGGCTATGAAATTTCTTTGTGTGCATTGGCAGGAACCCCTAATGGGACTCAATCTCCGGCTCCAGACTCCAGTGCAACCCCGTTCCGATTCAGAGGCCCCGTTACGAATCGAACAATGGCTCATGCTTTCGAGAACCCATTCAGTGCGTTGTGAAAATAAATAAGAACTAGCAGAAAAATACTTTGTTAATGTAAATGACAGGAAGTGTGCACTTGAGTGCCAGCATCGTCGTCGTCGTCCCCCAGAGGCTGCAATTAAATAAAAAACCAAACCGAAGCACTCTTTCCACAATGACAAGTTTAGCGGAAAAAGTGCGACAAAAAGTGCTGCAGCTGCAGATATGTATAAATATTTGTAGTTTCTGTTTTTTGCCCTCCCAGCTAATCATTCAAATTGCAATTGCATTGGCAATTGTAATCTGGACCGAACACTGTGCGTAGGCAAACGAGTTGTCCAATTGTGGGTCCGGCTCTTAGATGTTTTTCTGATTGCCTTGACACATTGACAAAGTGCGGCGCCAATTTACTTACATTCTGTGATTAACCGAGAGTTTGCATGCTATTTTAAAACTCATTGAATATTCAGAGAGGTGGGCAAAAGGAATTTTCTTCAAGATTAGTTATTTAAATAAATATGTTCAGATGACTTAAACTATAGGCATTAAAAATATAATAGTACCAGTAAATGTAAAGTAAAATTCGTCATGGATCTAGAACCTTTAGATGCTCAGCAATATATGACATAATCCAATTATAACCACTTCTGGTTCAATCTACACCTATTGTTCGAAATTGGTTGTTCATCATGCCAGGCACACTCAATTCTATGAAGAATTGTACCTCCAACAACGTTTCCGAACAATTAAGCACCACCACAGGGTGGCTTCATTATAGTCAACACCCTGCGCAGACTCACTCGAATACTCTTCAGAATTCAACAGCTGACGTTCCGTATCTTTTTGCCTATCAGAGGGTGTACATCTCCATGAGTTCCCGGGAATCATCAAAATTATTGTATAAACATGCAACTAATTGAAAAGTGTGCCGTAATTCATTAGAAGGCTAGATACAATCAGGCAGATCCTTTGTTATATAGTATGTGTGGCTGACCAACTGTTATTGTCTTCAAAGGGGAGGAAAGGATCTCAACCAGTTGCTGAGGGGCGTTCTATATGTCAGGATACGGGGTTGCATCACAGATCGCATTCCAAACAACTGTTCCTATTTTCTGTTTAATACGAGACGATGCGCCTGCGCAAATTGATTTATTCAAATAAATAAATTACCAACATATGCGAAAAATAGTTAAGTTCCTAGCATCTGAACCAACATCTGTTATAAAAAATTTTAATAGGTAACGTTCCCACGATTATAAAAAAATAGAATTCACATGTTATTTGAAACCTTTTAAATTCTTTAGTATATATTATACTTTGAACGAGCTTAAAATGTACTTACTTTGGCCTGCATAATTCTGCATAAGTAATACTACAAAATAGTCTCCTTATTTAGCCGTTCCAGCCTCATTTGCTAACATTTTCCTCTACACAGCTTCCAATTAATTCAGTCTTAATGGAAACCATTGTTCTGCAGGTCATCTCAAATGGCTGGGCCTAATAAAAGTACCGCTCTAAGCTGTGTCCCAAGCAATTAGTGCTCGACACATTACCTAAATCTCCAAGCAGCTCATGCTATTAACTGGCATAGCTAAAACTGCATTATGATTAGCCATTATTTTATGGATGAAAGTACGGTGGTAGTTTGTCTTGGCGTGGCATGCAACATGC